TAAATGGAAATACTCTAGATCATTACATGATTAAGTAATGCTTACTGTGTTTGAGCCTCCATTTTTGTTTCAGTACCTTAGCTAACATAATTGTTACGCATAGCCCTCGACTTATGAATAGCTTGTCTTCTTTTCAGAGAGATCTACAGTATATTTAAACCCACTCTATATTTAAAAGTTTAAGCAAGGGACAATATATACCTTCTGTTGCTATGAACCTTATGCTAAAATTTTTTTAAAAAAATGTAACTTTACAGGTATATGAGCGAACATAAAGAGTTTATTTTGGTATGAAGAAATTTGAAATCCATATATAGTTGTTTTTTTTTCTTTCCTATTATGTACTTTCTGTGAACTTTCTGAAGACATTTTATACAATCTATTCATTTCATAATTACTTTGTGAGGGATCAGTATACTGGGTTGTTGGAAAAGACATGGTGTGTTTTATCAGTTTTTCTATGCAAAAACATGGCATGACTTTTCCAACAAATCAGTATGTTAAATATGTTACAGAAACAAGCAAGAAATTGAGGAAGTTCTCAGGTAAATATAGAAGAAAAGCAAATAAAGAGATTGCATTATTATAAATGTATTGACACATATGTCTGGGATTTAATGAGAATAGGAAGAATCTTAATGGAGACTTGAGAAGACACACTTAGAAAAGGCTTCCTTGAAGAGAGACTTCCAAAGACAAGTTGGAATAAAAAACTAGGTGAGACTAGTGCCAGACGATGAAGCAGTGGCTAAACAACTGGATCCACATGGTAAGGTCGTAAGTTCGGGTCCTGCGGTTTCTCTGTACATCCTGGCACACATGCCTAAGATTTGGGCTACTTGAAGCTGTGGTTGGATTGCAGCATGAGGGCCTTGTTTGGGTATGCCTTAACCCCCCCTCACAGAAACAATAAACTTTTTTTTTAAACTTTCTTTCTTTCTTTCTTTCTTTCTTTCTTTTTTGCTTTAGGGCGCGTGTGCTCACCAGACAGACAGAGAGAGACAGAGAGACAGAAAGCGAGAAATCACCCCCGGGGAGATGGCCACGCTGCAATCCCTTCTCCATTCTCCTCTTAGGATCTTGGGCATGCACGCACACATGCCCGACGTGAGTTTTAAGCCACCGGGTCTGGGACACGAACTGCGGTCGACTACGTGGGAGTCCAGCGACATAGCCATTACGCTAATTGCTGGTCCCTATTTACTTATTTTAATTTGACCAGATAGGGACAGAGTGAGAGAGAGAGAGAGAGGGAGGGAGAGTGAGTGAGAAAGCAAGCCACCAGGTCCAGGACTCGAACTGTGGTCAGCCATGTGGGAGTCCAGTTCCCTTAACTACCACACCACCTGCTGGCCCCAAGAAACAATAAACTTAAAAAAATAGAAAAGAAGTGGGAAGATTGACACTTCAGGTAAAGAAGCCTGTGTCACATGTCTATTAAAAAATCTGGATGATTTTAAGTCAGTGGAGAGCAAATAATGAGTATTCAACAGGGGATGACATGATAAAAGTTGTATTTTAGAAGTTTACTGTAATGGTGACATGAAAATTACCTGGGTGAAAGAGGAAAGGCTACATTGGAGACTCGGACTCAGTGCAAAATTTAGATGGAAAATAATGAGAACCTGAATTTCAGTCTGTGGCAGTGGGAATGGGAAGAGATATGGAGCATGCAGGTAAGCTGAGAGATATTTAGGAGGAGAAATGATGGGATTGTGGTCAGAAATAATAAAGATGAAGGAGTCAAGTATGACTTTCAAGTTTCTGGGTAGGGCAATTTAGTGAATCTTGGTGGGAAATATAAGTTTACCTGTGGACACCATTAGATTGAGGAGAAAATAATAAATATTCCATTTAGAAATACAGTCTAGAACACTTGATTAAATTCAGGTTGTGACATACTCTTTAGTGTTCAGGTGGGTTTTTTTTTGTTGTTGTTGTTTTTTTTTAGAGGTTTTTCGCTATAGGGCGCGTGCGCTCGCCAGACAGAGAGAGACAAAGAGATAGAAGGTGAGAAATCACCCCCCAGGGGGGATGGCCACGCCGCAATCCCTTCTCCTCCATTCTCCTCTCGGGATCTTGGGCACGCACGCACACGCGCCCGGCATGAGTTTTAAGCCACCAGGTCCGGGATGCAAACTGTAGTCGACTAGGTGGGAGTCCAGCGACATAGCCATTAGGCTAACTGCTGGTTCCCTTCCGCTGTTTTTTTTCAACCATTGGTTTCATTAGATAAATGTGCACAGCAATGCTTCTCAGAGAGTGGTCCACTTGGTAGACTTGTTTATAATACTTATTTTTATGCCTTATCCATACCTATACCTATATAAACTTAAGACTTTAAGGAGTTAGTCCTGAGAATCTATGTTTAATTTCCCAGATATCATGGTTTGATGTGTTCCCCTAAAATTCATGTGTTGAAATTTGATTGTAACCATATTAACAGAGTGGGAGCTTAATCTAACTCTGGGATTAAGAGGTGAACTTCTGAGAGTTAGTTAGATAAAGTCATCAGAGTGGGGGCCCCCTGATTGAATCCTGATGGATTTATAAGGAAAAAGAAAAGAGACACAGACATGAACACAAACACACAGACACACAAACTCTTGTCACGTGATGGCCCATGGCACCTGTGAACTATGCAGAAAGTCCCCATGAACAACGAGATGCTTAGTGGATGTGGCCCTTTGACCTTAGATCATCAAAACTATGAGCTAAATAAACCTCTATTCTTTGTTAGTGACAAATAAATGGACTAGAACACCAGGCAATTATTATTTCACTAAAATTTAAGAATCTGTGGAATATAAAATAGGAAAAGTCAACTGTAGAACCATGGAAAACACTGACATTAAAATGAAGGAAGTGATTCTGAAAGGTTATACATGAAACTTATTTATTGAGAGTTTTTTTGTTTGTTTGTTTGTTTTTTAATAGGGCGTGTGCACTCACTGGATAGACAGAAAGCAAGAAATCACCCCCTAGGGGGAATGGTCGTACTACAATCCCTTCCCCATTCTCCTCTTGGGATCTTGAGTACATCTGTATACACACCTGACATAAAATTCTTAAAAAATATTTTTTTATTTATTCATTCATTTATTTTAATCTGACCAGAGAGAGACAGAGAGAGAGAGAAAGAGAAAGTGAGAAAGCAAGCCACCAGGTCCAGTACTCAAACTGTAGTCAGCCATGTAGGAGTGTCCAATGCCTTAACCACTACACCACCTGCTAATTCTCTCCCTGTACCCCCATGAGTTTTTAGCTACCAGGTCTAGGATTCAAATCGCAATCAACTATGTGGGAGTCTAGTGACATAACCACTATGCCATCTGCTGGGCCCCTATGCCAAATTTATTAATAGTGATGATCAACAGATAATGGTATGTGGAGTTTAATTTTTTTCTAATAAGAATAATTTTGAAGGTGGCATTTTAGTTTTGTATAGATGGTGGTTAAAATAAGACAGCTAAAGTCTCGAAATGACTGGAATAGAATAGCTATTTACCTTTCTTTGTTAACATATTTTTTGCTATTATTTTTTAATTCAACAAATAACTTTCTTTTTTAAAAAAAGAATTTGAATCAGAAAACATTTTTCTTTAAAACAAGCCAAAATGTCAAATATCAAGTGTGCACTGAGAGGTTTCAAACCAGCATATAATAACTTCCAGAATGAATCATAAAGAGCTTACAAAGCTGCATACTTATGAAAATTTCCTAGGTAAAGCTGGTTAGATCTTAAAAAACAAAAAGTCTGGACGTGTTCATGCAGGGAAAGGAATAAATGGAGGAAAGGGAACCATGAATAAATTAGGACAACAGCTTTGGGGACTGGCACTCTTGGGCTCTGCTTGGGTGGCCCTGACCATGACAGCCCTGGGCTGGAACTGCTCTTGCCCTGCCAAGAGACGCTGTGGCCACTGCCCACCTACTTGCTAGTGTCTGCTAGCTGCTATGCCCTGGGGATTGTGGGTTATCACATGGCCACTTTTCATGACTGAAGAGAATGCCACCCATGAACTACAGAGCCAGATTCAAGAGGCCCAAGCCGACTTAGCCCGAAGAGGGCTGCGTTTCTGATACCCTAGGCTTTGTTCCTGCAGAAGCGCTCCCTCCCATTTTCCATTAAAGAGCAAGTTTACTTCAAAAAAAAAAAAAAAAAAAAAAAGAACAAAAAAACCTGACACACAAATTCCAGAATTCTTAAGTGCGGTAGTATATTCCTAAGTGATTTTCTAACTTTGTTTTGTGCAGTACATGGTAAGACACAGCTTCTACGTAAAACAAACACAATTGAACAACACTAATAACACAAGTATTAAGTATTTAACTGAACTACTACAATTTTATACTTGAATGACATTATTAAAAATTGCAATCAAAACCAGGACTAGGACTATGGATTCGAATGTCCAACTCCACTCAAATCAGACCCAATTCTAAACTGAGAAAAATCTTTATGTTGATTTAGTAGCTCAGTTTTTAAAGAAAAGTTTCCAATTTCTCCTCTTTGATTTATAGTCAATTTACACTTCAAATTGCAAAAGTTGTAAGGATGCTGTTAGAAATGCAGTAACTTCTTTTTTTTTTTTTTTTTTTGAGAGGTTTTTGCTATAGGGTGCGTGCGCTCGCCAGACAGACAGAGAGAGACAGAAACCTAGAAATCAGCCCCCAGGGGGGATGGCCACGCCTCAATCCCTTCTCCTCCATTCTCCTCTTGGGATCTTGGGCACGCACGCACACGCGCCTGGCGTGAGTTTTAAGCCACCAGGTCCGGGACGCGAACTGCGGTTGACTACATGAGAGTCCAGTCACATAGCCATTACACTAACTGCTGGTCCTAGTAATGCAGTAACTTCTACACATAAAAAAGCTCAGACTTGTTTAATAAATCATTTTAAATGATTTATAGTAAATTATGAAAATAGCCATCTTTTAACTGAAACGTTTCAAAAGGCACCCATGTTATCCAAAGCATAAGACATTTCTTTCATTACCATGAGCTCGAAGTAAAGCTTCAGCAGTAAATAGAGGAGCCTGAAGCATGTCTGCAGTTTCCACAATTAGCATATCTTTCAATCTGCGAAGATCCTGAGGCCTTAATCCTTCATATGGCTTTGAAAAGAAGAAAAATAAAGTTAAATCGGCTACTTTATTCTTAGGAAGTATCAAAATACCTATAAACATATATACATGATTATCCTTATTTAATCTTCCCATTTCAATTTTGTTACTGAAGTTCAAAAGTCTTTTTCATGCTCCACTACCACAAACTTCAAACTATCCTTTTACAAGTGTCTTTTAAGCTGGAAAGTGGATGCTATGGCTTCATGTACTTTATTATTCTAAAAATGAAAGTATCATACTATCATGGTAAGACCATCTTCAGTTTTGAAGCAATAACCTTTACTAACGGTCTCATGTAATTTTATCAGTCTGTTCTTTTTGTAAATCACTTGTGTGTGAATATTTATGTATTCATTTAGGTACACTATTATAGTAGTTACTCACTCATCAATAATTTACACTTGTTAAAAACTCATAATTGCTATTTCACTGGATAAGAAGGGATTACGGCATGGCCATCCACCCGGGGGGTGATTTCTTGCTTTCTGTCTTTCTGTTTCTTTTTTTTTTGGAAAGGTTTTCGCTATAGGGTGCGTGCACTCGCCAGACAGACAGAGAGAGACATAGAGACAGAAAGCGAGAAATCACCCCCCAGGGGGCAAGGTCACGTCACAATCCCTTCTCCTCCATTCTCCTCTTGGGATCTTGGGCACGCACACACACGCACCCAGCATGAGTTTTAAGCCACCGAGTCCGGGACAAGAACCGTGGTCGACTATGTGGGAGTCCAGTGACATAGCCATTACGCTAACTGCTGGTTCCCCTCTGTCTTTCTGTTTCTATCTTTCTGGTGAACGTACACACCTGTAGCAAAAAGCTCTCTAAAAAAAAGAAAAAAAAAGTTCTAAAAGGTGGAACCAGTGGATGGTTGTAATCATTATGTTGCTAGACTCCCACATAGTCAACCACGGTTAGAGACCTGAACTCAGTGGCTTAAAACTCACACTGGAAACACGTGCGTGCATGCCCGAAATCCTGAGAGGAAAATGGAGCAGAGACTGCAGCATAGATATCCCCCTTGGGAGGTGATTTCTCACTTTCTGTCTCTGTTTCTCTAGTGACTGCACATACCCTATCACAAAAATCTCTTTAAAAAAAAGTTTTAAAAAGCCACTTGTAGTATTTCTTTTTTGTTTTCTCGAATATTTTGTTGTAGTCTTTGCTCTTGTTTTTTCTGTGAACTGTAGACTTAATCAAATTCCAACTATTTGTGATTGCTAGAGAGATTATATGATACCTATTAATTAATTTGGAAAGAAACGACAATGTCATATTCTTCAGATTTCTTACTCATAAACACAGTATCTCCGTTTATTGAAGTGTTCTTTAATGCTTCTTTGTTTTCTAGCTATAGATGCTACAACATCTAAAGCTTCTTTTACTTTTGTTGTCCTTTATCAATTTTGTTTAGCAGAAATCATATAAAGAATACTCTTAACCATTCAAAATTTATTGTAAGATTTTTACAATACTTGTTTCAAGTGCTTTTCAAAACAAGAGGCAAAATTTCATAAAGCTGTAACAGCCTGTGATGTGTTTTCCCCGTTCCATTTCCTTAATCTCCCCTATCCTTGCCTATGACAATCACTAACAATTTGATTTATAACTGTCAGCTTATGGCATAAAATTACATGTGTCATTAGGCAATTTTTTTCCTCAATTTTATTCAATAATGGGTTTTTATCATTGATATCAATTCACTAATCTATACCATTTCTTTACATAGAAGTAACCCATTTACTGCCACAAGCATAAAACTAAAGGCCATAGCTTAAAAAATAGTAGGAATTCCCAAGTACTTATCAGAAAAACAACCCCTGAGAATATCCTCTAGCAACATCTATCTCAGTTTTCAGAGAACTCTGAGTACTTAACAAACCTCGCCAGATCTAGAACTTGAACCATGGTTGGCCATGTGGGAGTCCAGCACCCTAACCACCATGCCACCTGCTGGTCCCATGATTAAGGTTTTAAAAATGCGTGCAGTTTTAAACTTAACTAACACTACAAGAAAAATAGTTCCTGAGGGACAGAGATATACTTCCTTCATGAACACGAACATATCCACTCCCAATCTCTGCACAGAACTGTAATTAGGTCATGTGACGCATTTCAATACACTGCTCAATCCCAAGTGGGCACTAGCTCATTCTTCTGCAGGAAGGATTAAAATGAAGGTGCCTTTCTCTTTTTTGCAAACATAAACTGCTTCTATTTTCAGATTAAACACAAATCAGCAATAACCTTCAAAGTAGTACTAATACATAGGGAAAAAAAAGAAACTTTGAATTAAAGGACCTCTTTTACATTAGTCACATACTACTGCTATCAAAAACCATTGAAGAAATGTAAAGCAGTCTAACATGCAACTGCATCACTTTAATACTGTTTAACTGACAATTATCTTCAAAAACTGTTTCAAAAAGACTATAGTATAGAGGAATTACGAAGTAAATCTTTGTTTTTGTTATTTTTTTTTCCCCACAATGAAAACTGTCTCTCCCCGCTAGACTGTACAGGTAAAACATGTTGTAAAAGAAAAGAAAGAATGGGCACTTATTTACCCAACTATATTGATAACTTAAAATGAAGATGTTAAAGACACTCTTGGGAAAGAGAATACTTCTAATTTGCCTTAATACTAATCTCTCATTAGCTGATCCACAAGGTTAGACTTGAAGGGAAAAGGGAAATAAAACACCAACGAAAGACTTGATAATTCTTAGACCCTTCTTTTCATTTCAGTTTCCTTTCTCTTTACTTAGTTGTTTTTGTCTGGGCATCAAGACCTAGGCTACCTTGACCTGTTCTCTGATCTAATAGGAAGGCAGCTGCTCCTTCAGAGCAGGGAACATTAAACCTTTTAGCCATGAGGCCAGCTAATGCAGTTTATGGGCTCCTTTCCACAAAAAGAACAAAAGAACCTTGGGCCTTCTGGAGTTACAGACTGGGAAAGTGGGGGGGGAGGGGGAGATTCTTTAGATTTTTTTTTTTTTTTTTTTAATGATGGGGAATGGACACATGCAGGAGGGAGGGAGGTTGTCAAACAAAAACATCCTTAACAGCATCTCATCACAGTTTGATCCCCTTCCCTCAGCCTTCCAGTTCCTTGGGATCCTGGGCGCCCATGTCCCAATCCAGTGTGCTTTCAAGCCAACCCAGGGATCCAAATCCACAGAAGGGTCATATAGCTTCTGAGTTCATAGGGCACTTCTGTTACCCCTGTGCCACTGCAGCTGGGTCAAATGGACTTGTACAGCAATATAATGTCTACTTTTTCCTTCACTTACTCAGATGTAGTCACATAATTTTCTTCCTATAGGGTCAAACCCCTACCTAAGCCTAATACTCATTAGTTTCTCTAGTCTTTTTTTTTTAAAAAGAATTTATTATTATTATTGTTACTGTTATTTAATTTCCTATAAGGCTCATGAGACAGTGAGAATGCAAGACACCAGGTCCAGGACTTGAACTGTGATCAGCTATGTGAGTGTTCAGTGTCTTAACCGTCACACCACCTGCTGGCACCTCTCTAGTCTTTAAGGATTTAAATAAATTTAAATTCCAGCCATCACTGGAATTCATCGTTTTGTTTTTATTTCTTTACAGCAGTTAAGTACTAACTAAAATTATGCTAAAATTATTTGTGTAGGGGCCAGTAGGTGGTAAAGTAGTTAAAGTGCTGGACTCCCACCTGGCTGACCACAGTTTGAATCCTAGGCCCAGTTACTTGAAATACACTGGGTGTGAGACCAGCAGTTTGTGTAATGACTATGTCGCTGGACCCCCATGTAGTCAACCGTGGCTCGAGTCCCCAACCCAGGGGCTTAAACTCATGCCGGGTGCGTGTATGTGTGTGCCCAAGATCCCAAGAGGAGAATGGAGAAGGGATTGTGGCATGGTTATCCCTCCCCAGGAGGGTATTTCTCGCTTTCTGTCTGGCGAGCACATGCGCTCTATGACAAAAACCTCTCTCTCAAAAGAAAAAAAAAAAAAGAAAGAAAGAAGAAAAAAGAAATACACTGGCAGCATGTGTGAGCATGCCTAAAATCCTGAGAGGAGAATGGAGAAGAGATTGTGGCTTCTTACTTTCTCTGTCTCTCCATTAAGAGCACATGCCTGATAGCAAATACCTCTCTTGAAAAAATAAAAAAAAATTTGTGTGTTTCTTTCTAACTGCTGGAAATACAATCACCCATAGGGCAGGTGTTTATCTTTGTTCTTCACTGTTAGCTCTAGGCATATGGTGTCTGGCAGAGTAGTCAGAATTTTGATATGAATATATAATGCTATATACTGTGCAGATCATTAAATATATCAAGAACTTAGCTAAAATATACATTTTACCTTAAGAACACAACTTTTTAATGTTACCTAATTATGTGACTTAGTACTACAAGACCAGGTTAAATCACTAACATAGGCAAAGTGATCTGGAGTTGACCAGTCAAACTAGAAGGTAAAAGCATTTTCTTTTAATTAAGTAAAACTCACATACATAAATTAGCCATTGTAAAATGTGTAAGTTAATGGCTGCTAGTACATTCGTAATGTTGTACGCTCACCATTTCTAACTAGTTACAAAACATTTTCATCACTGTAAAAAGAAACACTCCCCCTCAAAAAAGAAAACCCCATACCCATTAAGCAACATTCTTTATTCCTCCCTCCCTCCCCCAAACAAACTGTTTTGTTTTTATACTGGTTTTATAATTTTTTTCCTAGGCACATACAAACCAGTAGTTATATTATTCCTTCTAGAATCAAGTTAGCATTGAACATGAGGAATAAAAATCATTTTGGGAGGAAAGGATTTATTGTGTTAGTTTATTTAAGAACTACCTGTGGATGCCTACTTTGTGTAAGTAGTGTGTCAGACACTGAAAATATTATACTCTGTTGAGTAAGGCAGCTAGGCTTCTAGCCAATATGGAGTTGAAAATCTAATAGGTAAGAAAGGCTAGCAACAAGTAAACAAATACATACACAAAATGTGTGACTATAGCACATGCTGGATCCTATGTAGAATCAATACAGTACAAAGTTTTAGATGGACAGGAGGAATAGGTTTTGAGATCTATCGCGTAGCAGGGTGACTGTAGTCGATAATAATATATTGTATATTTTGAAATAACTAAATTTCAAATGTCTTACATAAAAATTATAGGCAAGTTATACAATAGATAGGTTAGTTTGATTTTAGTTGTTCCACATTGTGTGTATATACACACATAACATTGTACCCCCTACATGTATACAAACATGATTTGTCAGTCGAAAATATTAGTAAAAAACAGAATTTAAAACATAAAATAACAAGATATTATTTTAAAGGATAATAGAAGAGGGGGACCTATTTTAGAAAGAAAAAGCTGAGACTATTTCTCTGAGCCAGCCAGGATAATAACTGGGAAAGGATATCAGAGAGGAAAAAGCAAATGCAAAAAACTTGGTGTAGTCTAAATATTACAAGTAAAGTAAAGAATACTGGGTGAAAAGGTATGAAATGATGCTGAGAGGTAGGTAGTAGTCAGGCTGTATAAGAACTTACATCTGAGCAAATAGTTTGTAATTTATTCTAAGTAGAATGAAAAGTCACTAAATGACTTAAAGTATATAATTTAAATTAAAAATGTCACTCTGGATCCTGTGAATAAAACTGATTCTAAAGGTACAAGAACAGAACGAAGGAGAACAGTAACAAAAGTATTGAAGTAGTTCAGAGGAGAAGTGATGATGGTGAGGGCATAGGAGGAAGAGGTAAAGATTGGGAAGAGTATGAATTTAGGTTACATTTTTTGAGGTAGAATTGACAGGATTCCCCAGTTGGATGTGAGAGTTAAGGAACATGAGGAATCAAGGAAGTCTGTCATGTTTATGCTTGAGGAACTCAGTGGATGGAGGTAATGTTTACTGAGACAGGGAAACTTCTAGAAAAACCCAAAGAGAATGTTATCATCAAACCAAGGGAAGTCTGTTTGACAAGGAAGAGAGTGGTCAACTGTGTCAAGTGCTGCTGAGGAATTCAAGAAAGACAAAATAACTACTGGGTTTGGCAATGTGTGACTCCATGACAAGTACAGTTCCATGAAGGAACTAAAAAAAGAGAGTACAGTCACAGTAGAGTGAGCTGAAGAGTGAACAGAGGGTGAGAATGGTGGTATGTACAGACAGAGCTGAAGTTTTGTTTCCCTCCTGTGAAGATCAGTGAGATGGGGCTAAGACTAAAGGGGAAAGGAACTAGGGTGGGGAAAAGTGGTCAACTGGAGTTACCAAATCTTATCTGTTGATTAAGAGCAATCCAGAGAGAAGAAGAGTCTAAGGAACAGGAGAACTGGAGCTCTGGAGAAGTAGGAGTAGGTAGGATTCATACCATACATCAGCACCTCTATCTATATAAGTAGACATACACATATATGATAGAGAAAAGACTCTCTACTCCCAGGTTTTCTAGATGTATTTTTTACTTATAACCACAAAGATGACAATATATTTAGCATATTATAAAGACCACATAAACCAAATTTTAAAGAAGAAAAAATGTAAAATTTAAAATAGAAGCTAAAATTATCATCACATACTTACCTCTCGTTTATCTAAAGCAGCATATTCAGCCTCTATTTCTTCAGCTTCGGGATCCCGTGAGAATACCATCTGAGATTCCAGATTGAGGGCCAAATCTTTGTGATGTTGCTTTTCAGCACAGTCACAAGGGGTATCTTTATTTTCATTTTCTGCAAACAAGTCTCCTCCATGCTTTACTAAAAGCTAAAAAAGTTTTTGCAACCATAAATTAAAATGACAAAGTATTTCATTCTAAATATTCAAAAACATTAAAAATATAGTAACAGTATAATAAAATGCTAAAATTATTTACAGCATGTATTTGAAATGATATAAAGTTATTTAAATATCAGTAGTTTCTGATTTTAAGATTAGAAATTCTTGTTTTTCAATAATAAAAAGTGTTCCTTTGGTTAAAACAATGAGACCAGAAGATGTCGTAATGGTTATGTTGCTGGACTCCCATGTGGTCGACTGCAGTTTGAGTCTCAGCTCCGGCAGCTTAAAACTCAAGCCAAGTGTGTGTATATGCATGCTCAAGATTCAGATAGAATGGAAAAGAAGGGATTGCAAAGTGGCTATCTCCCCTGGGGAATAATATTTTGCTTTCTGTCTGTCTCTCTGGCAAGAGCCCGTGTCATATAGCAAAATATCTTAAACACACAAACAAAAAATAACAAAGAAACAATTTCTTAAATTTTAAAAATAAATTTTTAAACATTTCACTAAAAAATATTTACACTTAAAAAAGAGTGTTTATAGTTATTCATTATTATACCTTTAAAAATTTCTTGCAATTTCTATAAGCCTTTCTTATACAAGGACACTGCTGATACTATTACTTTACCCAGTAATATCTAGACTTCCTGACATAGCAGACAAAAATTTTCACGGTATTCAGTATCCAATGAAACACTGAAATAAAATTACGATCAGCCAGTCACTGAGAAGACCTGTTCTCAATACTCCTCAAAATAAGTGATGGACATAGCCACTGATAGCCAAGTTTTGGCCTAAAGGGACCCAGTAATGAAAATGAATGGGAGAGGGGTAGCAGGTGGCATCATCGTTAAGATGATGGACTCCCAGATGGTCAGACACAGTTCAAGTGTTGGACCTGGAGGTTGAAACTCATGCCAGGTGTATATGGATACAGGCACAAAATCCCAAGAGGAGAATGGAGAAGGAATTGTGGCACGGACATGCCCTTCGGGGGTGTGATTTCTCACTTTTTCTCTCTCTGTCTCAGGTGAGCACACCTGCCTTATGGCAGAAATCTCTCTCTAAAAAAAAGTACATGGAATAATGACTTGCTTGCTTTAGAGGTTTCACTTGGCTCTGCAGAAACTGAATATATTGTTACTAAGGTATAATTTGAAGTTTCCACATTATGTCTGCAGAGACCTTAAGAAGAGCATGAATGCTATGAGAGCCACAATCTATGAAAACCCCAAAAGACAGCCTGACAGTCATGAAGATTCTTTCATAGGATTCAGACATATTCATAATAAGTGGTAGTAGTCAATCACAGTTTATGATTGTTTTCTAAGTGCCAAGAACTATGTTAAGCACTTTAAATATACATTCTCACATAACATTAACAACTCTTTATTGACGGGGTATTATATCTCAGAGAAGTTTAATAACTTAACCAAAGTTATGCAGATAGTAAATAGTAAAACTAGAATTCAGATATAAGTCTGATGAAGTTTTTAACCATGAGTGGATATCGTACGGACTCACAGTATAGGCTGATGACATAAATGACAGTCCATTTCTTTCTTCTTTTAAATATTTGCCAGAGTATGTGCACTTGACAGAGAGAGAGAAAAAGTGGGAAAGCACCTCCTATGGGCAACAGTCACATGTAATCCCTTCTCCTCCATTGCATGCACATGCATCCAATGTGTTTTTTAAGCTGCTAGGTCTCCAACTCAAATTGCAGAGTCAGCCATGTGGCACATAGCCATCTTAACCATCATGCCATTGGCTGGCCCATGCCCTACCTCCTCTTTATGATCTAAATGTGAATTGAATGCCTTTTAGAGGCTTTCATTTTGTATGACGGTTAATCACATAGTAGCTTTTTTTCATTTTCTTCTAAATAACACACAAAGACAACAAACACAGCTGAACAACACACAGACTTTCTGGTAAAGTTCTTTGGAGCTGGAATCCTTATGGTTCTCCTACACTCATCCAATAGTCGTGACAAAATAAGTGACTCATGTCAAGTCAGGTCTGGAAGTCATGGACTAACTTGACAAACACACTGGATTTGACTCCAGTTTCTTGTTCTAGGCCAGGAATATGCCTCAGAGCTATGGTAGTTTTTGGTTTTGTTTTTGTTTTGTTTTGTTTTTTTTAGAGGTTTTTGCTATAGGGCACGTGCGCTCGCCAGACAGACAGAGAGAGAGAGAGACACGGAGAGACAGAAAGCAAGAAATCACCCCCCAGGGGGGATGGTCATGCCACAATCCCTTCTCCTCCATTCTCCTTTCGGGATCTTGGGCACGCACGCACATGCGCCTGGCGTGAGTTTTAAGCTACCGGGTCTGGGACACGAACCGCGGTCGATTACGTGGGAGTCCAGCGACATAGCCATTACGCTAACTGCTGGTCCCAGAGCTAAGGTGGTTTTAAAGCTTGTTTTTTAAGTTGTAAAAATAAGAAAACAGAGCCAGTCAGTGGCATAGTGGTTAAGGTGGCTGGATCCCACATGGCTAGCTGCATAGTGTGCGTCCCGGATCCAGATGCTTGAAAAACACTCCAAGTGTGTGTGCACCTGCCCAAAATCCTGGGAGGAGAATGAAAAAGGAATTGTGGCATGGCCATCTCCCTCAGGGGGTGATTTTTCACCTTTTATCCTTTCTCTCTGCCTTTGGCAAGAACACATACTCTATAGCAAAAAAACTAAACACATGTACACACAAAAAATTAATATCTGTCCCTTTACAAAGAAAATTTCTTGAGGATAGCTCTAAGTAGTCATTATTATAGTCACTTCCTACAGACTGATGGCAAGGTCATATCAGCTACCTTCCACCTGGATTTATTATCATTATTTTCTAAAGAGCATATTTATTTTTAAATAATTATTTAATTTTACTTATTATTATTATTACTGTTATTTAATTTGCTATACAGCAAATTAAGTAGTAATGTGCTCACCAGTGAGAGAAAGAGGAAAAGTGAGAAAACAAGCCTCGAGGTCTAGAATTTGAACCATGGTCAGCCATGTGGGAATCCAGTGTCTTAACCACCATGCCACCAGTTGTATCAACTGGGAGCTTGTAAGAAATGCAGAACCCTAGCCTAACTGCCCAACTCTCTCCCATCCTAGGCCTCTAAACCAGAATTTGGTTCAGATCTCCTTGAGATTCCTATGAACATACATGATTGAGAAGCAATATTCCTAGAGTACAATCAGTGTGGCTGTGAAAATTGATGCATTTTTATTATCTAACTTATTCCTGATATATACAGCAGGGTCAATTACTATTTTTAGCCTCTCAGCTTCACAGATTATCCAAAACCTGAATATAAAATAAAGTTTAGCTTCTGACTGCTACAGAACTGGGAGCTGAGTTTGTTCTCTGGGTCTCTATTTAGAGTTGTAGAAAATGATTTCTGAAGAGTACACACTAGGTTAACTTTCAAAGTCACGATTTACTTTCACAATAAATATTACCATAGAAGAGATACTAAATGTTAGCAAACCAGACTAATCATCTCTAACTTAACATCTCAGTCTTCCTTAATAAAAGCAAAGACAACAAAGTTTAAGAAGTTGTGTACTAAAAGAATCTCAGTAAGGGAAACCGTCTTAAAAGAATATGCTGGCATATGGAATTCATTCACTGAAGTGTTAAACAAAAACATGTGAGAGGACGTGTGAGAAGCCACTGCTGAAAGTTACTGTTGACCACTGTTACAATTTGGGTGCCACTGATTGTAAGGAGTTTCCAGATGAGTTTGGAGTAGGGATGAGGTGATCACAATTGCTGCACTTACGAGAAACTTGTAATAGGTTATGAAATAGAAGATCCTTGTAGTGAAAATCTACTTGTGTGCTACCTTTGGCATAAAAGCTAGCTAATAGCAGTCCTGCCTGACATTGAAGGTGAGGATGTTAAAAAGCTAAAAACTTTTTTAAATTTGCATGAGCAAAGTTAAAAAGTCAGCTTGCTGACTTTTGGGCATAAGGTCAGAAATACCAATAAGTGAGAGACTATCAGGTGGAGATAACTTTTAAATTGCTGATGCATATAGTCAGGTGTTCTGTTTGGACATAACGGGGAGTAACATCTGGTTTTGAAAAGGTACTTTTAAAATGCTTCAAACAAAGCATACCACCTATCATTTTCCTCATTCTCAAATAAGCTAAGGAGGAATGAATCATTTATTCAGCTATGGTCTCTAGCCTACTTCAAACATGTAGTGGTACATAACATGTACCTTAAAAGAAACATGAAATCACCATCTAAGCTCTATGAGCTCTATTCTGCATTTCTTTCCATTCACAATTCCAGAGGAGGAGAGGTAGGGCTTGAACAACAAATTGAGAGCAATCATGGAAGCTGATCCTCTTATAACTGCACAAGAAGTTGCCAAAGAACTCAATGTAGATCATTCTATGGTCATTTGGCATTTGCAGTACATCGAGAAGGTGAAAAATCTTATTAAGTAAGTGCCTCATAAACTGAGTGGAAAAAAAACCACATCATTTTGAAGTGTAGCCTTCTCTTATTCTACAAAACAATGAACCATTTCTTGATCACGATAAACCATTTCTTGATTAGGATGTGACATGTGAAGAAAAGTGGATTTTACATAACAAGCGATGATTAGCTCAGTGGCTAGACTTAGAAGAAGCTCCAAAGCACTTCCCAAAGCCAAAAAGTCATGGTCATTATTTGGTGTGGTCTGATCCACCACAGTTTTCTGGATCCTGGCAAAAACAATACACCTGAGAAGTATGTAGGAAGCAAACCAATGGGATGCACTGAAAGGTGCGATCAACAGGAAGGACCTACTCCTTCATGACAATGCCCAACCAAGAGTCACACAACTAACACTTCCAGAAAGTTGAAAGAATTGATCTACAAAGTTTTGTCTCATCCACTATATTTGCCTGACCTCTTTCTTACCAATCAAATACTACTACTTCAAGCATTCTGGTAACTTTTTGATAGGGAAAAATGCTTCCACAACTAGCAGGATGGAGAAGATACTTTCCAAGAATCTACTGACTTCTGAAGCATGGATTTTTACACTATAGGAATAAACATTTCTTTCTTTCTTTCTTTCTTTTTGAGAGGTTTTTGCTATAGGGAGCGTGTGCTTGCCAGACAGAGAAAGACAGAGAGATAGAAAAGCGAGAAATCACCCCCCCTCCCAGGGGGGATTGCCACACCATAATCTCCTCCGTTCTCCTCTCAGGATCTTGGGCAAGCACACACACGCATCCGACGTGAGTTTTAAGCCACTGGGTCCAGGATGCAAAACGCGGTCGACTACATGGGAGTCCAGCAACATAGCCATTACGCTAACTGCTGGTCCCCATAAACATTTATTTCTTGTTGGCAAAAATGTGTTGACTATAGTGGTTTCTAGTTTGTTTAATAAAGATGTGTTTAAGTCAGGTTATAATGATTTAAAATTCATGGTCCAAAACCTCAATTGCTTTTGCACCAACATAATATGAATCACTTTGGGATTTTGTTAAACTGTAAAAACAGATTCAGATCCACCCGGTCTGGGATAGGGCCCAAAATTCTGAATTTCCAACTTCATCATGGTTTGAGTCCTGGACCTGGCAGCTTAAAACTCACACCAGGTAGGACCCG